TCGACTTGCGAACTCGCCTCGACTTACGAACCGGATCCGCAGCCATTTTCCGCCCGTTCCATGTGGTCCGCGGCCATTTTTCCACCCGTTCCATGTGGTCCGCGGCCATTTTCCGCCCATTCCACGTGGTCCATGGCCATTTTTCCGCCTGTGCCACGTGGTCCATGGCCATTTTCCACCCGTTCCACGTGGTCCACGGCCATTTTCCGCCCGTGCCATGTGGTCCGCGGCCATTTTCCGCCTGTTCCACGTGGTCTGCGGCCCTTTTTCCACCCTGACACGTAGTCCGCAGCCATTTTCCGCCCCTGACACGTGGTCCGCAGCCATTTTTCCACCCCTGACATGTGGTCCGCGGCCATTTTCCGCCCGTGCCATGTGGTCCGCGGCCATTTTCCGCCTGTTCCACGTGGTCTGCGGCCCTTTTTCCGCCCTGACACGTAGTCCGCAGCCATTTTCCGCCCCTGACACGTGGTCCGCAGCCATTTTTCCACCCCTGACATGTGGTCCACGGCCATTTTTCCGCCCCTGACACGTGGTCCGCGGCCGTTTTTCCGCCCCTGACACGTGGTCCGCGGACGCCGGAACGGATTAATGGTAATTACATTGAACCTTATGGGAAAATTTGCCTCGTGTTGCAACCAGAGTCACGGAACGGATTAAATTCGTAACTCGAGGTTCCACTGTATTGTGTTTTTAACTGTTGTTAGCTGCCTAGAGTTGTCATGATGAGATGGGTGGCCATATAAATTTAAATAAATAGATTTAAATTTTGTGGAACTGGGCATAAATTCCCTTCTGTTTTTGCTTTTTTTTAATTAGAAAATGAAATGGATCATACTAATTCTTACTGCTTATTAATCTGAATACTGCAAATTATTGAAGCATATAAGAGTTATGGTATATACATGTGCATGAGAGTTAAGGAGATTTAACCAAAGTAACTCAACACAAAGTTTACACTTGGATATCTTTTAATATAGGTTATACACCAGGCACACCATATAAAGTCTCTTGCTCACCCACCAGTGGTACAGTGCCTCCTTATTCCTCATCGCCCAATCCTTATCAAACTGCAGTATATCCAGTTCGAAGTGCCTATCCACAGCAGAATCCATATGCACAGGTAAAAAGTGTAGATTTGTTCTTTGTGTTAATTATGTAACAGCTGAAACTATGCTGTTTTCTAGATTCTTAGTGGTGTGGTGGTTTTTTGCAGGGGGGGTATAATCTTTAATCATATTTGTATGTTATAAATCAGAATTGCAGTGAAGTCTGGCTTACAGTTGATGATCTCCCCACCAAAACAACATGGTTGTTGGCTTCTTGTTTCTGGCTTGTTTGGAGATACAAGCCAGAAATTCTGGTTAATATACAACTAAACTTGTGCTTCCCAGTTAGTTCAGGTTGATTATTCTATTTTGCTTGAGCAGTTCAGTTAATCAGGAATAGTTTTGAGAGAACTGAAAACTCATTACTAATGAACAGTAATGAGTTTTGGTTTTTTTTCCTTTTTGAAGGGTCTGACTCTTACCTGATGTGTAAATATAAAATAATGGCATTTCCTTGAAACCGTGTGGCCTTTTAGTATATATCAATAGTAATGGAAAGAATGTTAGTAAACCAACCATTTTTTTCAACAGCAAGGCACTTACTACACACAGCCTTTATATGCAGCACCACCCCACGTAATCCATCACACTACAGTTGTGCAGCCCAATGGAATGCCTGCAACTATGTATCCAGCACCAATTCCACCTCCCAGAGGAAATGGTGTCACTATGGGAATGGTGGCTGGGACCACAATGGCAATGTCAGCAGGTATGTGAATTTTCTTTTATTCCCACAGTCTGTGAGGTGGCATTGGTATTGTAGAGCACTTGATACCCATTAGTGTGGCCAATCAGGTGCTACATATAAATTCTTAGATAACCAATGGTAAACAGATAACCTCTTCAGGACACAGAGATGACATTCTTGATTCTTGTAGCTAATATTAACCTTTTGACTATCAAACACATTTTAAAATGGCAGCTCATCTGTGACAATGAACCTCACAAGTAAATTGTATACAGGCAGTCCTTGACTTTCAACCACAATTGGGACTGGAACTTCCGTTGCTAAGCAATGCAGTCATTAAGTGAGTTGCGTCTGATTTTACAATACTTTTTGCTGCAGTTGTTAAGTGAATCGTCATTAAGTGAATCATGCAGTCATTAAGTGAATTCGCCTTCCCCCATTTGCTTGTCAGAAGCCCCCTGGGAAGGTCACAAATGGCAATCACGTGACCCCGGGATGCTGCAATGATTGTAAATACATACCGATCGCCAAGCACCCAAGTTTTGATCATGTGACTGGGGATGCTGCAGTGGTCATAAGTGCAAGGACCAGTCGTTAGTCACTTTTTTCAGCACCATCATAACTTCGAATGGTCGTTAAACAAATGGTCGTAAGTTGAGGACTACCTGTACTAAGTATTCTGATTTGTAGAATATTTATTGGATGTCTGTCAAAGTGCAGAAAGAAGCTTTAACATGGTCATGCAAGAAGTGAATTATATTTTGTGCCATGCCCTTAATATCATTTTGATTGGGAATTCTGAGAATTACAATCCTAAAATATTTGGAAGACACAGGCTGTGGAAGACTGATATAAAGTGCTAGAGAAGCAAAAACAAGACTGAGGAGTCTGCAAACACAGTTTCTTTAAATTCTGCAACAGAAATTCTGGTGGCTATGCTAACTTCCAAATTATTTCTAAACAATGAAGAGTACTAATTATGAAGCAATTAAGTGTGGAAATATTTTTCCCTCCCCAGGTACCTTGTTGACAACACATTCCCCAACTCCTGTAGCCCCGCACCCAGTTACAATGCCCACTTATCGAGCTCCAGGAACTCCAACCTATAGTTATGTGCCCCCACAGTGGTGATTACCATTGCCCAGTGTAAGTATTGGTATATTTACAATCATAATGATTTCTCTAGTGTAGGACTATAAAAAGTCAGGCTGGACTAAGATTTTCTGACAGTTTTGACAGGAAGTGTTCTGGAACATACCAGCTCTGAATGAAAAATGTGAGCTTGTTTGTTGGAAATAATGTTTTCTACACATGACTCTTTATTTTTCTAGTAAAAGACTTGTATTCTTAATGAGAATTAATACATGATTTTTCATTCTGTACAAATTAAGTTGTTGATGTACTTGGGTAAGTAACAATGTTCATTCACACTGTTAAATAACTTTATTTTGAGCTTTAAGTTACTTGGATATTTGACACTGGAATTTTTGAATTCAGATTAGCCTAAAAGTTGTGCCGTGACAATAAGAATTAGCTATGAGTGATTTCTACTTCTTTTGTTAATATAGCACAGTAGGAAATATGGTCGAAAATATCCCCTACAAAGCTCCTTCCTTCCCCTAATTGAAACATGCTTTGGGTAACTACTGATTGGCTGAACTGGTATGTTTACTACTGAAATGTTTGCATTTTGTATTTGATTATTGTGATGGAACAGCCATATAAACATCCATATAAACATTTTTGTGAAAATACAGTGATCCAGAAAGGTAATGCCAAGGAGACAGAAAAATAAAAATCTTGCTGCAGGATACAAATTTTTAAGCTGCCTATTTTTTAATAAGTGACAGTCCTAAGTGGAGGCGTAACTTCTGTGTTCAGTCAGTGAGTGATAGGTGTGTTTGGAATGAGGGATAGAACTGGTAGCATTAACTACTATTGAGCTATTACTTAGCTCCTTTTGTTGTCTTTTGAATGCAGATTTGAAGATGGGAGATATGCAATCAAGTAACTGAGGTTTAAAAGTTGGTGCTGAAGCCTTCATGCCTCCAACCAGGACTTGTTTCTTCTGAATGCTTGCAATCCTTTGCTAAACACTAATTCCACTGAAGACTTCCCAGTGCTGCATATCTTACATCTTGGAACTCCAGCAGTTAGTCTTAAAGCAAATCCTGTTTTGTGGACTGTCTTGCAATTTTTAGCTAATTATAATGATTAAAGGGAGTATAAATTTATTGATTCATATCTAGTTGAATGCATGTCTAAAACTCGCAAAGCTTGCTCAACCTACCTGCTGTGACTGATGCAAAAACTGTCATATGCAAAATCCAAAGGAGCCGAAAAGTATTTTACAATTTGTATCACTAATGCACTGTTGTAATGTATGCAGGGTCTTAAAGAGGTAGAATTGTGACAGTGATTTTTTTCATCGATATACATTAGCAAGTGTGTTAACCTTTTAAGGCACCAGGTAAAGGGGGAACAGTTTGGTGGTGTTTTTCTTTCTGGTTCAGTGACTGGAAAATGACTTTGTAGAAATCTTACAAAGGAACTGTTTATCATTTGTAAGTTTTCCTTTCCATTTCCACTTTTTGGATTCAGTGTTATTATGGACATTCTCAAGGACAAAAACATTACGGGAAAAATATGGTTAACAGTCTTGCTATCTAAATCATCAATCATAATTGGAATGTTTGGTGGAAAATCATCTGCATAATGGTTTACCTCCTAGAACAGTCTTAAATGATTGATGTTAGTGATTTCCACACTGTTAGTAAAATAAAATTTTGTTCAAGTTTAGGTCCCCCCCCCCAAACAAAAATGTACTCACCTTGGCCAGATTAAAAAAAATAGTTTGAGCAGCCTGCTTTTGTAAAAGCATAGTCATATCAATATTTCAGTAGAAAAGAATTCAACATATTCTGAAGAAAATGTCCATTTTTGATATATTAAAGGGGAGCAAACTATTTAAATCATTTTAGTGGCTTGTTTTCCTTGCAGCATGGATATGAACAAAGTGTGGAAGCAATTGTTAGGATATACATTTTCATAAAAATAGGACTAAATTAGAAAGTGATCAAGTACAAAGATTCTCATTGGTAATAGTATTCTTTTGGCATAATCTTGGGCATATGCTTTTTTACCTCCTAAATTGCATTTGGAAAAATTGGAATTAAGAAAACAGATGCAGTATTTCATTGCAGTGAACCACTTCTGAACTCCTTGCCTACAGCTTTGAGTCTTCATAGAAGTACCTCAGTCAATGCTGTGGGGATATAGGGCTAGTCTTGGAACCAGTTTGTGTACCAAAATTATTATGGGATTTTTTTTAAATTTTATTTTAGGTTTTAATTTCAGTGCTAAAAGCAATCAAGGGCTTTCTTTGAATTGGCACCAATTATTATTTTTCCCCAGTATTTCCTGTCTGCAATAAATAGTGTAGTCAAAGGTTAAAATGTTCCATTTTAAATTTAACATTTGTAGATTAGTTTATAGTATTGGTAAAATATTTGCAAGTTGTTGGTGTGTTTTAATTGTGAGACTGAGCATCCCTTATTTTGGGATAATCAGTTTTTAAATCAGATCTTGCAACTACTTATAAGTAGCTTGGAAACTGGTTTTAGTACTAACATCCTATTTTTGTTCCCTGGGGCAAGAGGCTTCTATGCCTCAAATCCCTTTGAGGACAGGGCCTTTAGGACATTTAAACAATAACATACTTTTTTTTTTTTTTTTACTTAAGATATATTTTCTTTGGATCATTATATGACACCTTTATCCAAATGCCAGTGACACAACATAATCATATGTATTGTTACATTTTAATCTTGAGCACTTATTGCAGCCTAGAAAGTTCTGTATCCATAAAACAAGCAAATTCTTCTCTCTTGCCATTTGGGTCTGCTTAGCTATTCCATTTGTAACTTCATTTCCATGAAGTTAGTCATCTTTCTGAAGAGTGCTCCTTAACTTAATGATTATTCAGTATGGGCACTTAGTCAGTGTAGCAGGCTTTTAAAGTAAAATGTTTCTTGCCACATTATCACAGATGTGAGTTTTGAAAATTCAGTTATGCCAGGGACATGTTGAAAATAAATAAAAGCACTGCTGCCTCTAATCTCTTTACTTAAATGTCCTGAAGTCTATAGCTAACGCAGCACTTTGTAAATGGTAAAGACAAATTGTAATTTATTCACCTCAAGTTTCAGATTTCTAAATGCTTCCTTGGTTTTTTTTTTTTTTTTAAATACAGTGATAGTGACAGCCTTTAGGTAATCTGACTTTGAGCACTTTTTTCTGAGTTATGTTATGGGATTCATCTGCAATGGAGGATTAGTACTTCTTGCAAAAATTACTGCACCTTCCAGAAATTCTAATTTGGGGGAGGGGGGAATGGGGCAATGACATTTTATTGGAGATAATTCCATACCTCCAATAGCGTCAGTAGGAAAGTAACCAAAAGCACAGTGATGAGAGGATGTATATAGCTTGGTATATTGTTGCAAATAATTAAAAAAAGCATGAATATGAAACTGAAAGTTTGTACTTCAAATGGATGTACTAGACAGGGGATATTGTGGAATTTTTTCTCCTTCTGTCTGTTAGTTCCCTGTTTAGAATTCCTGTGTGGGAGGGTGGGTGAGGTAAAGCCTCTAATTCTTAGTATGTGGTTGCATTGAAACTCTCCAGAAAGCTTTAAAGGGGGTTAATGCAGCAGAGACAAGGCTCCAATCAAGCTGCTTCCAAACAAATGCAGCCTCTAGACGGGAATACAGTAACATATTACAGCAATAACAGAGAAAACAAAAGATCTGAGTTTAATTTCAAAGGCTATGTTTTTAAATAATACTGAAGACACTGTTTAGGAGACATTCTCAAAGCAGATAACACAATATTCTAAGTTTGGGTTTTGTTTTTTTGTTTTTTTGTTTTGAAAAATAGCAAAATAGTCACATTCTACAGATACTTTATATTTGGCCAAGAAACTTGTAGATGTAGTCAGTGGTATTAATGCTAACCAACTGACAAGAAACTAAATCTCCCATTTTTAATCGAGGTGATAGATGTATAACTAAAATATTATTGTTGATATACAGACATTGAAATACTCTGAGAAGCTCATACGTTACCACGAAAGGTGTCTTGATGCCACGATGGAGATAATGGAGGGAAGAAGGTTTTTTTGCTTTATTTGGATTCTTGAAACGTAAACCCAGTGAGAATATCGTTTTTAATTTGTCATGACTAAAATTTGACATAGGCTCCATATAGTAATATTCCATGACCATCACAAGTAGTTTTAACTTCAGTGGAGAATTTTGAATTTATTAGGAAAAACTTCCTTTGTTCCTATGCGTTTGTACTGAGCATTCCTATTGCTTGGTTATGGAGTTAAAAAACTTAAGTTAATTTTGTTGCAGTTAAAATGCAGGAAGCAAAATATTTTCAACTAGTTTGTATTGCAATGTTGTGTTGATACTATGAAGCAACACCCAACACTGGGTGTCTGTTCTGGGGCAAAAAAAATAGGCATTGATAATTTTCTGTTAGTGAAGCTCAGCATTGCATTCTCTATTAGGTAGTTTGTTAATTAAGCAAATTCCCTGTCTGTCTCTGCCTGCAAACACTGAGTCCCAAATCTAGAAGTCTCTTTGTGATTTTTTTTTAACCTGTGCATAAAGTTTGTTTGCACTTGGCCTTCCCTATTGTCTTACATAAAGGAACAGCTCTGCATAGTCATTCCTTCTCAATTTATCCAACAGTCCCATCCATTTGGAATAATAACAATAAAAGAGAGAAAGCTGTGCAGGCAAGGGAATTGCATTTATATTAAGCATTTAATTCTCTCTTGGTCAAGCTGCCGGTCATGCCATTCAGTAGAGACTGAAAGACAGCAAGGGGCAGGTAACGGGGGGGGGGGGATTATCAGAATTCTTGAGCTGTCTCTTCAGCCTACTGAAGACATTTTATTGGTGTTTATTAGATACTGAGGTAGTTATTTAAATCAAATGGGCACTCTTTCTAAAATGACATGGAAATATTTGAGCATCCCAATATCAGAAGCCAATTTAACATACCAAGATAGTCTGAACAGTTTGACTTCAAATTCCCTGTCATCAGTATCTCTGTGACTTTTTCCAATCTGATATGACTTTTGAGCACTTAGCAAGCAAACCATGGAAGCTTCACTTAGCTTGCTGCTGTACAGACTTGTTTTTAGTAGAATGGATTTGTTAGTGGGATTTTATTGTAGTGCTATTATTGGCTGCCCTTGTGGGGTGAAAAGGGGAGTGCATGCAACAGAAGTGCAAGAGGCCCCAGTAATAGTGTTGTTATGAAATAGGCACAGGTTTCCTTTTTATATAACTTTTTTTTTTTTTTAACTGTCTTAAAACAGTTGTATTGGTACTTTTTCCCAAGTTTAGGTCAATGTTGTCTTCCAGAAGAAGTTTAAAGCATCACATCTGCATTGAACTTTTGCATCAACACATAGGAGTGGCAATTCCATTCTGAGCCAGTTGTGTAAAATTCATTTTTATTATACAATCCAATGAGTAGATGAGCTCAGAGTTAAATTCTTAAAAGCACGTTTATGTAACAGGAATTGTTATGTATTAATACTTCAGTTTTCAATAAAGATTGACTGTGTTGCTTATTGTTGTCTTTTTCTTTTGCAACTACAATCCTCAAAAATATGTTCTGACACTTGAATGATGTTTAGGCTTTTCAACATGCACCATGCTAAAAATTATTCATCCCTGACAGAGATAGGCAGTCTGGCACGTTCTACATGTTGTGGATTACTATTGCCATCACTCTCAGCCAGCAAAACTATTAACAGTGGATTATGGGGATTATCATCTAAAACATCTGAAGGAAATCACATTATCTGCCTCTGATCTATTGACCAACAATAGTTTGATTCACATCATACTTGCTGTCTTACACCATCCATAGAATTTTAAAACAATTTGCAAGTTTCATTGAAAGGAGAAAAACATTAAAGTGAGATTAGTACATGTTGAGTTATTTACTTGTATAGCAAAATTTTCTCTTTTAGCAATATCAAATGATTTATTTTTAAATTTTACATACTTTTAGAGAACTACTATAAATTTGCCATGTTTAATGTTGGGAGTTTGGTACTGGAAGGAACCATTTAGGTCAATGAGTCCAACTCCCTGTTCAGATCAGGAATTTAAATTAGGGCATTCCAGACAGATGGCTATCTAACTGAAACATACCCAATAGAGGGAACCCACAACCCCTCTAGGTAACTGGTTCTTGTCAAACTGGAAGCTTTTTCTGCCTTCCTGTAACTTAAATCTGTTTCATGCCCTAGACTCTGTAATGAGAGATCATACCCTTCAGTGTGACATTATTTCAGGTATTTGAAGAATGCCACTATATCCCACCCCTACCCCGTCAACTTTTTTTCAAGACTATACGCACCCAGTTCCTTCAGTTTCTTCATAGGGCTTAGTTTCTCTTCCCTACAACTTCATCTTTCTGTGAACCTGTTCTAATTTCTCTGAATCCTTAAATGTGTGATGCCTAGAATTCAAGGCAAGTAAAGCTAAATAATCACTCTCCTTATTTGATGTGAATGATGGTAAACTCATCTATTTAGAAGAATGTGAGGTGAAATTGATGTGACAAAGCACTAAACTGGTCGGGTCACTGATCATAGGACTTTGAAAGATAAGCAGCAAGCAGAAGGGATTGGTCTATGTGTTACTGGTTTTATTTCATATTTTCTCAAGTGTGATTATTAGGAATATGTAGAGCAGTTTATAGCCTTGCCTGTGTGGCAATCAAGGTACCACTGGATCCCAAATTTACATGTAAGCTGGACACTTGTTCTGAGCTAAAACTAGTATATTTCATACAGTATTACATGATTTAATGAGATGGTTTGAAATATTACAAATGCTATCAATTGAAACATGAATTAAATTACTTTCTACATTGCAACCTCCAATAAGTTGTTCCAGAGAATTTTTTTTTCAGTTAGAACTTTTGCTGACAATGTGGGGAACTTCTGATCTATACCTCATCCACTTTTTGTTAAGGACTTCTGAAGAAGAGTTTAATGTTCTTTCCTAATTATAGAAGTATATGTTTTCCCCTTTTGCAAGAAATATTTTGCAAATTCATCACTTACCTAGTAGTTGTCAAAATTGTCCAATTAAAACACAATAGGTACTCTCCATTTAAATGAAAGAAACAACACTATGTTCTGAAGTTGTCTGGTCTATTTCCAGATAACCTCAAACAATGTTTATGGGGGTGTATATATTGCTAACATTTATTTTTTAAAAATTGTCATCCTAGCATTGTTAAAGCATGTCATTCAATTATGGAAGTCTCACCTGACTCAGGAGACTTTTGTCTGTTAATTCCTCTCAATTATTGTACAAGCAACCAATGACTTGAGGTTTTTAACTTAACCATATCAACGTAAAAATAACTTGGGACACATTTGCATCACTTCCAGCTTCCTTTAACTAACTGCTGTATGCTTGAGTGATCAAACTGCAACCTTAGCATATTATTTCTATAGGCTGTGTTCATGGAACATACTAGACTAAAAAGTTCAGTTAAACCGGTGCATGAATACTATCATCTCTATTCCATGTCACAGTTTAATCAGGCTTTGTGCTTTATTATGTCATCTAATCAGAAATGGCCATTTTAGGTTTTGGGAAACTGGAGTGAAGACTACAACTCCTAATTTCCAGAAAGGTAGTAGGTTCGGGCAACATGGTAAGTCACAAAGAATGGTTAAAGGGCAACATCTGATGGGAGTTGGGGCTGTAGTACATGTGCCTATTGAACAAGCTTTCGAGCTGAACATATGTTAGCACTGCAGCAGGAGGCAGCACCTGCAGGAAGGTGGCTAATTAAAAAAAAAAATACTAGAAAGTCTCAGGCCCAGTTTGCATTTGAGTGGAGGATGGAATAGAATACCAGGACTGTAGATTGGACTGGAAAGCTGAAAAGGTATCCCAGAAGGCAATGGTGAACCACTTTTGTATTGTGGCCAATAAAACATGATTACATTCATGTGGTTATGAGAATTGATTGTTAATTCAAGGACAAATTATCTGGCCATTATCTTTGGAACTTTCCCTGATAATTCTGGATCTATTCAAATTGATCAATTCATGTAGTAACATGAGAGTGAGTGAACTGCAAAATTAACATGATTGCTATTTGCAACTCAGCATGATCAGATGCTAATTCACCCATACTATGTCACTTTTTTTTTTTTAAGGTAAAACATGAGCTCTGCCTGCCTACAAACTTGGGCTATATACTTTTGTTATCCTACCCTCTCCCATATTGTCTGATTTTCTTGGGCGTAAAACCCAGTAGTCTACCATCTCAATATGTAGAACTACAGATACATAACGATACATTAAATACAAGGATGCACCTAGTATGAAACAAAAATTGTGTGCCCATTGCTCCAAAGCAGACCTACTAGTTGTTCACTTAATAGTAATCAAATGTAAAGGACATTTCTGCATAAGAAAAAAGAGAGACACTGAATGAAAGTCAGTTTTACAATTTTCTTTATGAAATTAAACGTAACCCCTCCAAAGGGGGAAAGAGATAGTGCAAGAATGATTCTGTACATGCTTCTGGATTTTTATAACTGAAGGCTGGTCAGCTACAGTTGGACACTGCATCTTCTTGCATTACACTGCTGAACGCTCACTCCCCTGGAGTACAGTCATGCCAGGGTAGGTTGGGTTCTTCGCTTTAATTTCACAGTACCAGGAAATCCCTAAACAATGGGATTCAGTCAGTTATGGCTTCTATCTATCTCACTATGGTAAGGCAAATCTTTATCTAATCAAAAGATTATATGGGGAAGGGGGGTGCCATCAATTTTCAAGTGGTTAGTGTCTGAATATACACTCCCCATAGAAATTGGCAAATCTGTGTCCCTGTCTTTCTGTTAAGCACCCTCACCTCCTCTGCAGAGTGTTGCATAGGTGATACAGTTTCCGAATAATACTGCTTAGTTTGTAAGTGCCTGGCACTAAAGAAATTAATCTTTAGACAAATCTATGTCATATGTCTTTAGAAATATAGGCCAGCCTTTCTTCTGCCTGGTGTCCCCTAGATATGTTGGGACTGTAACTCCCAGAATCCCTAAAAGCTCACTGCGCCTATTTTGGAATTCTTGGAATGGGACTTCCACACATTTGGAGGACATCAAGTTGTGGAGGGTTGATACAGGCTTCCAAATATTGGCCTTCTTCAGTGGGAAAAAAGAGGCAAAGAGGCATCAAGTTAAAACCTGACAAGACAGATTACAAACTTACAAAATACAGTTATTTGCACTGTTACATAAATAAACATTTTAAAAACATTGAGAAAAATTATCATTGGCCAGGAACTATGAGAAATTGTTTGTAGAAAGTAAAAGTAATTAAAATGTAATTTAGGCTCATTTCCCCCTTCCCCACAATGTACATTAACTCAATTAGGTTGCAAATATCCTGGCTGTTAGCCACACTTCGGGTTGGTCAATCAAGTACTGGTTCCAGATCAGCTGTTCAGCTTTCACGTAGGAAAAGGTGAAGCTCGATCCCCAGGAGTGCTCAGTCTGTTCTGGATCTCTGAAAATCTGGGTAAGAGGAAGGGAGTCCCTCATCCCAGGAAAATGGGCACCAGTAGAAACATGAGATAGCTGCTCAGAGCAAATGGCCAAGAGATGGTGGTAGCTGCTCATCTACTGTCGACTTTTCCTGTCAGCCTTTTTTTGATCCCCAAATAAATGTTCCCAGATGAAGGGTCAGTCCAGAAGAAAAGGGACAAAATGAGGAAGTTTTTTTAAAAAAATGATTCTGACACCAGTCTTCTCCTAGGTATTCATCCATATGGGCAGTCTCAGCTCATTTTCACCAACATACGCACATGCACACGTACACAACAAGGTCATGACACTTTGAAGCTCTTCCAGTTGATCCAAAGTAAAGGAATACGGGAGGATGCTAAGCCAGGAGGCGGAGGCAGTGCTTGGGTTTGCAGGACTGAAGCATAAAGTGCTTTCTCAAAAGGGATTCAGGCACAAGGTCAGGCTGCTTCCCCTTATTTTCGAAACGGTGCCAGCCTGCTGATATTCTGCCAGAAGTTTGAAGGTTTGCGCTTGGGCTCTGCCAGCATGAAGACTTGCTGCTGGGGAAGGTTTGTAGGCAGGGTAGGGTGTTTCTGGCGCATCAAGAAATCGTAGTATGTCCTGGTGACCACTGCTGATGAAATGAGTGAAGAGAAAAAAGGTTTCATAGCTGCACCTTCTGTTCTGCCCCCTGTGAGAACTGGAGTGTCCCATTCTCAATATGCTTTTTACCTTTACTGTAATCGGATGCCTTAGCACTGTTCTTATGTATTGCTTTGACCTGATTCACTCAGCAAAATATTATTGAAAATACATGAGAAGAAAAGGGGAGGGCTACATATTCTGCAGGTTGTTTCTCAATTATTTTTCTCAGAAATATCTCTGTATTTTCCAGACTTCTTCACTCTTACACACTCTAGATGTGGTGGGACTGCAACTCCTAAAATTCCCATGGAAGTTGCATTGTCTGCACATTTGGAGAGTGCCAGAGTGGTAAAAGCTATCCTAGTATATGGGCCTATTAGGTTGTAAAAGAACCCAAAGCACATTAGGATGTCAAATTGAAAAACAGTATTCTTTAAGATAGGCAGTTCCTGATTTGTCATATCTGAGTTTTGGAAACTAACATATTCTTAATACAGAATCCAAAAACTCATTTTTCAATGTATCACTGCTACAATTCAAGGGGCTACTAATGGTCTTAATGCCTATCATGCAGCTTAAGCAGCTCAAAACAGTGAGTCCATGGTGCTGGAAGTTTGTCCTTGGCCCTGGGAAAGATCTAGTTTTCATGTGGGAAACTTAGTTACTTACTGCACTTCTCCTGTTTTCAGACAAGTGCTGTGATCTCATTAAATTAAAATTTAAAAACACTGCCATACCCTTCAATTTAGAAAATCAAAAGACAAGACAGAAAGAAGTGGCGAGCATTATGCTTGAATTTATATGCAGTTCAATCTGGGGGGTGGGGGGGGCAATGGTGGAGATTTGACTTGGAAAGGCCTGCCACCACCATGTCCCATCTTCACATTCCAAAACTTCTTAGAGAGTCAGTAAAATCAAGTTGATGTGAAATCCTGCATGCAGTGCTTCTTTTAATAAAAGAGTCGATGCTATGACTTTCTTGCCCCAGCAGGGGACAGCATCTGGCCAACCTTATCTAGGCTCAAAAGTTAAGCAAAGTCAATTTAGTTAGTACTTATATGGGGAATGTCCAGGGAATACTAAGGTTATAGACTAGACATGGGGAATTCTGGGAGCTGAAGTCCACACATCTTAAAATTGCCAAGTTTGAGAAAAAAACTGGGCTAGACTGAGATGTTAAAAAACACATTCTCCAAGAAGGTAGTGGTAAAGCATTTTCTAATTACTGCTACAAAATTTACATGGACATACCCTTGAGGCTACCAGGATTCAAGTTCAAATTGACAAAGATGTTACCTTTCTGATTCCCGTACCACCAAATAAAGCCAAAATATTCTACAGTGATTACTTGGCCTTTGAACTGGTGTTCCTTTAACCGTAGCTTCTGAAGTTAAACACAGGATTGGATTGTAGCCTATTAACTCTAATAATTTTAGGCCACTGAGCCTATTAACTCTAATAATTTTAGGCCACTGAGTATGTATGTATGTTAGGGAAGAGGTTAACAAGGAGGGCAGATATCTATCTTGACTTGCCTTTTGGCTTTCCACTCTGATTTTGTTTGCTGGCATTAAGCATAGCTTGTTTCTTCTGCATTTCAGTGATGGAAAAACCTTGAAGATGAAAGAGAAGCTGTTAATCCAGCTAGGCTTTTCAAGCTATATCATGCAAACATATGCCCAGGGGCAAGGGGCATATCAGGGAGAAAATCCCAATGCATGCAGCAGAAACTATACCAAGTAGTTTAATTTTATATCTCAAAAATAAGTTCATTGTTGCTCCAAAGCCTGTACTGTACATCAGGATAGTATAATTGCTGTACAATTCTGCTTAGCTCTCATAAATAAGTATTGTAAAGAGCATGGAGTCTGTAAATGGAGGAGAGGAGATAGAAAGTAACAAATATGGATTAAGATCCGAGGAGAAAAGAGATAGGAATGGAGAGTATGGGAAAATGAGGCTAGAGCTGTTCAGAAACCAGTTTAGTCTTCAGGAAGGATTTTTAAGAAGAACTTCATTTGTAAGGCTGATAAGTTGCTGCAGGCAATGGGTCACCATGGGAGGAGATAAAGGGATATGCTACTGCATAGTCCTAGGGCAGCCTTCTTTAGACTCCAGATATGTTGAGGCTATAATCCCTATAATTCCTGGTCAGCCACATGATTCACAGTGCTGGCTGGCTTGCAATTCGAGGAGTTACAGACCCAACAGACTGGAAGTGCATTTGTTTGGAGGATACTAATTTAGGGCATGGATGGGAATCCTATGGCTCTCCAGATGTTACTGAACTACAACTTTCAGCATTCCTTATCATTGGCCATACTGCCTTGCTCACTGGAAATTCAGCAGCACCTTAAAGGCCAGTGTTCTCTACTTTTTACTTACCAGTACTCTGTAAAGCTAGATTTATAAGATAAGCACTTGAGTAAGATTAGGAAAAATTCAAGTTATATGTGACAGAAATTTACACAGTATGTGACTCTTGAGGATGTAGAGTCAATCGTAAAGTGGGAACATTTTAAAGGTTTAACACATAGTTAAGGTGCAAGAAAGTTCAGTGAAAGACATTCTCAGCATAGTAACTCTCAGTGGTAGTTCATGGCTGTTGCATACCAGTTTCCTGGTCAAGCTGAACCTGCTTCCTTTCATTCTCAAATGCCTTGAGCCAGCGTTGCTTCTGTTCTGGTTTCTTTGCACAGAATAAATGGACTTCTTCAGTGTCCTGGCAATGCAGTTTGAATGCATTCTTAACAGTGATATTGAAATCTTTATCCTTCCCATCTTCCACATCCAAAATTTCCATGTGATCCATGTTGATCCGACTCTTATAATAGAGGATGTCACGCCGTAAGAGATCCTAAGAGAAAAAAAAGCAGACATATTCCACTACAATTTTGCACCCTTCTCTGATGCGTGAATGTTCAGCCAAAGAACAAGAATTTGCCATGTATAGAATAATGATACAGGGTTTTTTTTAACCCCTTACCTGAAACAAATATTTACTTTCAGGTTTTACATTAAATTCCCTTTTTATGAAAAATTCAAGAATGTTTTCCAGGAAAGAGTTGGGGGGAGATTTCACTTAGTGTAAGGGTAAGTGCCGTCCAGAAGTTCTAGAACATAAACCCCAGCCAGCATGGCCAAAGGCAAAACATTATGGAAACTATAGTCCAAAATATCTGCACACCATGAGATTGCCTAAATGAGATTGCCTATAAACTCTACTTCTAAAAGATATTCTGCTATGGTCACATGAATACCCAGTTGGTCTGTGGAATGTTTCATACTACAAGAAACTCATGCAATTCTGAAGAACATTTACTTAGGTTAGGAAGCAACTTGTCAAAAAATGCTCTCTGGAGGCTGTATATTTCTGTTCTTTAAGTATGCTTTGGTATATACTTCCAGGACAACTGATAAAGCAAATATACACCAAATCTTCATGGGAATGTTCCACGTTAAGAAATTCTTCTGGTAATCTTGTAGATAGATTCTATATTCTATGAGCATATGACCTACTAGATTATTCCTTTTCTTCCCTCAAGGACTGGAATGCTATTTGTATATGAAATACTTCAAGTGGGAAAGAAGAGATTAGCAAACTATGTAAATCAAGTCAGCTCTACAATCACGTGATTCTTGCAAGCCTGAGGGCTTGAAACCTCTCTCTCAGTTATCCAAGAAAAAAGATCTGACAATGTTATCCTAAAAAGGGGAAAATTCCGTTTTGTAACAAGGCCATATTGCTACAAAGATTAGCATTACTATTTAATATTTAAATGGACTACCTCCTCAGTGAAGCCAATACTACTTCATGGAACCAACAATATGTCACCTCCTGGGAGGCCTTCACCAACCAGGAGGGACATGGATGTAATAAACAAGTGGCTGGGTTAGCAAAACTGAGGATTCTATTCACCTCCTCAGGAGCTATTGGCTCAAATTCATCCCAGCTAACCATGCAAGGCCTTGCTTCCATCACATCATTAGGATTTGTCCAACTCTGAGTGAATCTCAATTACTTTATCTGCCAAATATCTAGAATATTCCTCACAACAGCCTGGAAGCTATTGTTTGACTCATCCCTCCCCAACAGGGTATGAGTCATATTAAAAAGGGCTGCTGGATCCTCAGGAAAACCCCCAAGTTCCCTCTGGAATCGACCAGGGTGCATTAGTTGCCTGGGGTGACCCAATCTAATAGGTCCTACCTCCCTGCAGGAGTGGGCAGCACCAGTAAGATGAAAAGCTGAGACTGATCTGTCCATTGCAATGGACTGATGCTAATGCTCTCAACATTCAGATCACATTGTAACTGCCCCGAGATTAACAAAAGATATAGTGTTGACTAGCAGTATGTATTTGGCTCTCAATTACTTGGATTAGGTCCATGATCACCATAATGAGCATAAACTTCTGAGCTGCTCCAGACTCAACACACCCAGGGGAGATAGAAATCCCCAAGGAACACAAGACCTGGGGATTTCACTACCAACCTGGCAATGGAGTCTAGCACTCAGGCAGGAATGCTGATGTGCAGCAGGGAGACTGGTACAACAGCAACAAACCCCCTGCTCCCAAGAGCCCAACTTCATCCAGAGAATCTCACATCTGGTTACCTGAAAAGCAGGATCTTTTAAAGACCTCAAAGTGGCATCCCACCCTTGCCCTGGAGTCACAGCTGGTGCTAAACTTGAAACCCTGATGGGCATATCTCCAAAAGGAGAACTTTCCCCTCTAAGACCACACAGGTCTTGGTTACAATTAAATCATGGACGTTGAAAGTCTTATTACATAACAACTTGGTGTTCAAGAACAATAGCCAGAGTCCAAAGCCACCAAGGATCCAATAACCAGGCCTCTGAGTTGAATGCTGAGGGCCAGCAGGTGGGACAGGTCTTAGCTACTGGTCCTGTCATCCCATGAGCAGCCTGCCCTCAACCTCCTGTCTTATCTTCCTTTGCCTGTCACAATCGTGATGGAACTACCTGCCATCTTCCCCCATCCCCCTGCTCCAATCACCCCACACTCATGCTTGGCACCACGAACACCCATTCCCAGTTGTTCCTGCTTCCAACACTCAGCATGTGGGGGGACATCAATATGGGTTACTGATGTGGATCCAATCCAGTCCAATCACACACATTTACCACCCAACCACTCCTTCCACCATCCACCCCTACTCACCACTAGTTTCCCATTAGTTTCATTCATGTGTTTTATTGTGTAAACACAAGATATTTGGAGACATAATTTTGTGGAGAAATGTGGAAAAACACCTTTTATATACTGACATATTACCACTAAAAATGACACTGGTTTCAGTGATGCACTTTACAAAAGGATGTACAGTATACTGCAAAGTATCAACTTCTAACATTCTTTATTGATAAGAATAGCTCAGAGGACCATTGGCACTTGGGAAATAAAAACAATAGGCAGCTATAGCCCAAAGCTATCCAAAGCTCTAGGAAAGGACAAAGATAAGCAGGGATGCAGACAACATGCTGAGGAGCTAAGGAAAATGGCATGGATATTCTCACTAATTTGTCCTTTATGGCAGCCATTTTGTAATCAGCCACATCTTCCCATGATAGCCATTTTATAGGAGAACCTACAGTACTCTAGGGATTCGTATATGCCCAGCAGTCAAAAGGGTTGCCTCTTCCCACTATTTGATAACTATTAGAGGTATGGGAAGGAAAGGAAAAATGCAGCACCCAGGTCTTCTTTAAAACTTGCATAAATCTACAAGTTCAAATAGTCCATTTATGAATCTGATTAGAAACTGTGCAATTTTTAGAGAGAACTTTATGGGCACTATTAATTTGGGGAGCTTAGGCCAAAAGTTATGTTCTTTTAGATTGGGTGCTACATATTGATGTTGCCATCTATGTCTTAAATATCAATAAATAGGACAGTATGTATGAACATCTGGGGAGGCAAGAAGCGATTAAGCTATGGAGGTTGACTAATTTACTTACAATATTATGCAGAACTTCTCCCTATCACCAACTCAGTGGGTTTTCAAAGTATTTCATAATTCTTGGCAATTGTTCACACGAGACATACAGATTACAACTGGAATACTATAACTGGATCAAGCTTTAATTGTAATCTTGTTTTTTTTTAAAAAATCTGGATAAACAAATAAAAAAACAAGGCAGGGAAAGGTCCACCATCACTGACGTAAGGGTTATGATACCCTTATAAAAGCTGTTATTTTATCCTTAGAGGATTCTCACTTAGGCATGCACTTTAATGGTTCACTGGAATGGATACATATATGGCAGAAATATTTGTAGAATACTTTGTCTTATCATATAGCATCAGAATTTAAATCCTAAGGAAGAATGTGGGTGGCAATTCTGGTGGATTTAATTTGATAGCATTTTCATCTGCATCTTTTGTCTTATAAAAGCTAAAAACATAACTTCCCTGCAGCGTTGCAGAATAGTTCACAGCAGGCTTTTCATTAATGACCTTAGCACAAATGCACAGAAAGCCAGCCTGAAAGAAACTTCAGCTCTATAGGCACTTTTGCAGAGTTCCCTACCCTACCCCGGGCCAGGTCCTTTCTTTGATTTATAGTGATGCTTGGTGTAATAAGTCACACCCAACACACTGCCATGTTCTTTAAACAAAATGCTTGAATGCTGAACATTAAAAAGCAACTGAGAAAAGATATAATTTTGCTGCCACCAGGAGACAGTGTATGTGGGCAGAGGCAGCAGTCGTTCTTTAACTTACCTTCTTGCAGCATACAAGTTGGTGATCAAAGAGGAAGAACATTCTTTGATGGCTTTTTGCTTGAGGCTGGGAAATTTTGGTTAACTCTCCAGAGTAGATGAGTTCAGAACTCTTAACAAGGACATCTTCACCCTGTCAATCAGAACAAAAGGGCACATAATTTTCTTTTCCATAGAAGAGGTTAAGCAACATACAGCAGCCCGGTGCTGAAAGTCTCTAGGGCCACAAATGGCTTATTATTCATCTTCCAACTTTTACATCCTTTGAGGTATTTTCATTAAGACTCAAAATCAGGGCACATTATGACACATAAAAGTGGTCATAAGCCTGCTATTATACCAAATCAACTTTTCTCTCTTTTTCTTTCTTTTTCTTTTTTTCTTTCATTCTTTCACTCATTTATTTATGTTTCTCTTGCCCATTGGAAATATGGGAAGCATTTGAAACAATGTCTGATTATCTTAGTGCTATTTTTAAAAATATATTCTTATTTTTAAGAGGAATCTTAATTGGCATAGTTAATCTTACATAAATCAGTCAGTCTATACCAAGTGACTCATTATTGCCAGTCATCCTTAAACATTTTATTACATAGAAGTGGACAAAAGATCTTGCAAAAGGAAAATCAGTTGGTGGAATTCCTAAATATCTACAACTTTGAAAATAATCTTAAACCATACTTTCCTGAGAGTTCTCGTGGGTCTTACATAATCTGGCTTATGTCAGTCAGACTGACAGATCTCTTTCACCCAATCCTAGTGAGGATCATCTTTTGTTGAGATTTTTGGCTATAACCTGGTCTCCTGTTCTAAAGTATGTGTTGAAAGTAATCTAGTTATAGTAGTATTTTTTATTAGGCAACATGCTTTGGGGATGAAGAGATTTGTAATCCAACATATCTAGAGGATAGTACTTTTGGAAATGGCAGTGGAGAATGGCTTTCTAGAGCTAAATTTAGATATATACAGTTTGCAGTCCCTAGCATACTTCATTGAAAGGAAGCCTCACTGAAGTCGGTGAGACTACTTCTAAGTATATTACCCAGGGCAGATTTAGAATTTTAATACAAGTATGTCCTCTATACCCATGAGATGTATGATTTTATGTATTGAAATTCAATTGACTTTATTTCCCAAAAATGGTATGATTACCAATCATACAGTAAACATACCCTGTATCTTCATCTTCCTTTATAGTGTATAAAAGGCCACAATCCAACACAGAAGAGATCCAAAGCACATGTATGGTATATACATACAGACTTGCACATTTACTCAAAATCTTTAAAAGCATTTATTCTAGTTAGCTTCAATGCATTTAAACTTTGTGTTGGATTGTGGCCAGCATATGACTAGCTCAAAAGAAGATCTCTCCTTTATCCACCCGTTTTGTTTTCTCAGTAAGGCAGATAGAGGAAAATGCTTCCCAATGTTGTTATCCTTTGATAGATGACCATATGATCTGCTTGTGTTGATACCTCATTAAGAAAACAGTGATAATTCATACCACCTAAGGATCTGAAGTATACAACAGTATAAACAGAAGCAGAGTCTATTTTCAACAAATGCAGTCCATTTTAAAACAAAGCTGAAGAGATTACACTCAACACATTTCTGGCTAACTGTAATTCAGACTAAGAATTAATTTAACTGTGGTTTTTATTGCTAAGCATCTGGCCCCAACATATAGGAATATCTACAAACATATAAATAGGGTTATTTAATAACAAGCTGATAGGTAATAGATTAAATGAATCAAAATGTATAAAAATACATTAATTTGGGTGGGATAGTTTGTAGTATTCTCTTGTTCAGTAGACGAATTATGAGTCTGTGCATATCAGCAAGGATAATGCTCATGTGGTTCCTTGTTTTGAAGACGTTTGCATTTTACCTCCCAGTCCTCTATTGAGCTCTGCCATTGAGCAATTTTGTCTATATTTTCCAAGCGCCTCTTCCTTTCATTGATGAGCCGTGCTACATTTTTCATGGCATTCAAAGCAGCTTCAACATCTTTAAAATCCCTACAGATGAAATAGATTCCTTTAGAGATATCAGCAAAAATGGAGCAAAAATGTGAAAGAACTAGCCTTCTATTCCAATGCACCAGAAATTAGCAAGGAAATTATGGGTCAAAATGAAATTTGAGGATATCTACCTGTATCTCATTTGAGAGAAATAAATAAGATGTAATTGCCCCAATTTTAATTGTTTCCCCACTTGTTATTTGGAGAGCTTACAACATCACACTTAATATCCTGATGCTGGTTTATTATTTTCCTAAAGTACAAACCTTTGCAATGCTCTTCAAGACTTCTTTTTCCAAGTGTTGAAATGACATTAATCTGGCCCTCCCACACCCTCTGTTGATTCTGCTAGGAAATGAATTATTATCTTCCTATCTCTCTTGCAGTTTATGCCACTTTCTAACAAGGGCAAGAGGAAATTGTGGGCAGAGTCTCAGGATTTCATAGAAGGAGTTCTAAAACCAGCACCAATCACTACAACTCTTGCTTGTGCTTCTGGGCTGCATGATCGTATCTGCAAACTTTTCCTGATTATCTGTACCTAAAAAAAGACTTCTGCTTATGAACTGAAAAGTCAGTAAGTGTGGAGTTCTTGGTAGTCTTTGAGCTTGGTTGTTTGCCTGCAGACATTTCATTACCCAACTAGGTAACATTATCAGTGCCTCACAAGCAATCAACCAAGCTCAGAGACTACCAAGAATTCCACAGTTCAACCCTGAGTACAGATATCCTCTTCCATTGAAGTCAGTAAGTATAAGAATTCTTCTGTTATAAGGCAACTAGTTTTCAAATGCTATCAGAAGGAAATGAAACACGCCCATACAAAACAAATAACCTACTAGATCTGTAAGAAAAAGGCTGCTTAAATTTAACTAAAAAGGAATATTTCTAGTAGGCATCAAACAAAAGGAGTTAGGATAACTAAAATGTAATGGCATTTCCCCTTCCATTTTTTTTTTTTTTAAATCCTCACTTCTCCATACCTATGCTGTGGGTTGGTATATTTCAGCAGTTCTGCAAGCTGTAGGGGATACTTGCAAATTTTCTGAACTGGCGTTAGGAGGAAACCATCCAGAGAGATATCAATCATCTTCTGAAGGAGACGGCACGCTTCGAAGAAATAGACATATTTGTTCACTTTGGTAAGCCGGGAAAGCTCCATACAGGCATTCGGGTGGTTGTTGCAGTACTCCGAGTAGATCTGGAACTCATTTTGCTGAATTGGAAGCCAAAAGATTATATTATGGAGAACAGGATGAATTTTATTTTTGTAACCACAGTAATCCAGCCTAACATAAAATACAAATAAAAATAGTTTTAAATATATGAGTACAACTCCATGCGAAATCTTGAACAATAAAATTAATCAATTCATTTGCACAACAGAACAATACCTTAGGGCAGCTTTTCTCAACTGGGGTTCCACGAGAGGTTGTGATTTTATATCTAATTTTACATGCCACGCAATGCAAGTGTTCACAGTAATGGGAATTTTTACACACTCAGCTTACACCTTACACCAATGTACCTCAAACTGTCAATATAATAATTTTTATGCAGAGGTTCCTCCAAGGAAGAATGGTTGAGAAAAGCTGCCTTAGATGGACATTCTGACGGTTTAGTTAGTACTGTATGTGCCGCTTTCTTATTTTTACGGACAAGTGAAAATAGACATTTGGCAGCTGATGTGAGAAACCTGTCTGCCAGGAGATAAATTATAGTTCAGCCTCTATATTAGAAAATCTGCCAATTATGAATCCTAATATTTTTTCCCTGTTATATCATAAAAGAGGTGTGAAATTATATTGACATAAGCGGTAGACTAAATTTGAAAAGGAAACTGTGCAAGCACACCTTAAGAGGGAGAAAGAGGCCAAAATGAGGTATCTTGGATGTACAACCAGCTCTGTAACCTTGCATGCTGGAGACACTCACACACTTCAGTCTATTGCTTAAGGCTGAGGCAGCCATTTTATAATCACAGCACAATTCCCAATGATCTTCCCCTGAGTTTAAAGCAGTGTTTTTCAAACTTGGCAACTTTAAGATGTGCAGACTTCAACACATCTTAAAGTTGCCAAGTTTGAAAAACACTGCTTTAAAGGAATTCACTACTAGGTAAAAATAATGGAAATCAATGAACACTCTTTCTCTGTTTATTCCTCATTTTTTTCTGTTGTCAGACTTTAAGCTTTAACATAGCATTTAAATAAAAACAGTAATTTATTACAATTATCTGAATGTCCTTGTCAATGTTTTCTTCTTTTAGGCTACAATCGTAAGTATAATTTCCAGGAATAGGGCTCATTGAGCTCAGTGAAACTTTGGAGAGGGCATTCTTAATATTATATCAGCCACTCCACCACAGGTGTGTGGGGTTTTTCTCTTAAAATTTCCTGTCCAGACATTGCTCAGAATTCTGGGAGTTGAAGTTCATGCACCTGAAGGGCATGGCTGTATTACACTGCGGGATAGCCTCACCTTTTTAGATGTGACTGTAATTTCCAGAAGGCCTGACCAATCTGGTCTTTGGCTTGCTCACTTGCACAAGTGTCAACTTACATATTCCAAGAAGCAGGAGCCAACCTCACTTAGGTGTGGGCAATCTTTGTTGAATTTCTTCTCCAAGGCTTTAACAAACTTTTTCTGGCATTTGTAGATATCCTCAATATTCCCAAATATAGTCTTCAGCTGCTCTTCTGTGAACATGTCTGCTCTTTTACGGCATTGTTTTATATAGCCCTAGAAAGGAGCAAGATTTGTAAGGCAAAATCAAAATAACCTGCAGTTCCACTTTATCTTAGTCATAAGGCTATATAGGATGGAAGATTGATATAATGGTGCTAAACCAACTCAGTTATTATGGACAAGCAATGAAAAGACCAGTTATTATAAAAACAAACCCAGAGTTTCTGCATTCAAAACTCAAAAGACTGGTACAAAGGAAGATATCTCTACTTTTAAGATGCCCATAATTAGAGACAGACATAATACAAGCCTCACATTAAATGAAACTAAATTGCATCTACAGGTCATATTCAAAAACCAAACTCTACAATTGTAAGAAACTTAGATGTAAAAAAAATGCTTCATTGGCATTTTATTCAGATTTGGTTTTCTCAGAATCCTGATGAAACTTTATGTAGGATGATGCCTGAGTCACAAAGGAAATGTGTAAATTTCAGCTAAACCTGAACTTATTTTCTTCTCTGTTACTAAATAGCTGGTTGGGCAAAATATTTTATTGCTATGGAAAAGAAATTAAGTGGTAGAAATTATCACACTTTTATGGTCCCTCAAATAAAGATTCTCTAAGGGATTCAGTGCTTAGATTAGATAAACTATTATATAGAAGAAATAGATTAATAGTGGTATATTTAACTCAAGAATGAGTTCAAAGCTTTTTAGAATTCTTATTTTTTTTTCCTTAAATGTCAGCTAATTAACATCTTTGGCCAAAATACACTTGCAAATAACACACATATTATTTGAATGTCTCATTACCTCACAGATGTCTTTTAGGTGTTTGATGTAATCTCTCTCTGTACTTAGAATTTCATTAATAACATTGGTTCTCATTTGATCCTTTGTTGTGTGCCCCATTCCATAGCGGTGGGCACCATTTCTTGCATCTTCTTCCCGACCATCTTCTAACTTCAGAGGATAGTCTTCCATTGGTTCATCCTGGTTTACTCGGAGCTGTATCAAATGTGCATTATTATCTTAAACATTATTCAACTATTGAGAGGGAGGAGTTGAGGCATCCATGTTGAAAGATGAAGCCTATTAGAACTATTTTGTCTAGTGAGAATTTGAAAAGCCTTGGCTTAAGGTATGGACCAAGAAACTCCTAATTACGATCTTTTGAGTTCTGTTCCATCTCACCTAGTCATTCATTTGTCTTTCTTGTTATTTATTTATTCATGCAATTTCTATAGCCACCCATCTCAATCCAAGTGACTGTCACTGTTCCCATTTACTTCAGTAGTAATGTCTTTGCTTCTTCTCTGGAACAACCATAACTCCAGCAGGGAGGAAAAAAGAGAATACTCTGACCATCCTTTTTCCAATATCTCTAGCACTATTGCAGTGCTATTCTTTTTTCAAGAACAACTATCTCTTTTAAGCACCTTAGAAGGAACATGCCCCAGGGTTAGAAGTAACTGTAATAAGCCACAGCCATGAAACAGGCATGAAGAAGGGGAAAGAAAGAAACTTTTGCTAATAGAGAATGTAAGATGGAGGAGCTGCTGAAGGGGGAAGAGAGATGCAGAAGCTACCTTAATAAAGGGGACAGGATTCACAAGGAGGGGTTCTATGTTCCAGAGCTCAAGGATTGGAGCTGGCAATGTTTGTTCTATGCAGAATTCTTAGAGGAAACAAAAACATGTCTCTATAAATATTCCCCACTTTTTTATATAATTGCCAGTCTCAAGCCTGGGAGAAGTCGCCTATCATTAGTTTCCATCCAATAAGAACTGTGTGTTCCACATCATATATTCAATTTTAAAAATGGCAACACCTGTTGGAAGTTCTGGGAATTAAAATCCAATATATCTAGAATATGTTTTGGGGGAAAAAATGGATTGCATAGTTCAGATTCTCTTATTCTATCCTTGTACTTCAGCACCTCTTGAAAGTCCAGTGTAATATCACAATTTATGATATCACAGGGAAAGTATTTACTTGATAATGAAATAGGTAATTGGCCAGTAGGATAATTGATCAATGTTTTATCTTGGAAAAATTTCAAGGACTTTATCCCCAGTATTCAAAGAATCTATTGGACGTACTTATCCAACAGTTTCTTTACTTATGTGGATACAGAATTAATGATAGCATGTTACATGAGCAATATAAGACAGCTGTATAGTTATATATTCCTTAACTCTGCATCTCCATCCTAAAAAAAATGTGTTTTTATTTTACACATAGAACAAGCATTCATAACTTTTTCCTCTTCCACTCAAACTGAGCACCATAGAAAGGAATGTGAATGACATCCTTAACAATCTTGAATTGTATCCACAGAGATATGGTGTTGAAATCATGGGAAGTGCTAGTTCTTCCAGGACCAATGCAATTGCCAACATTGTTTTTCAATCACATCCAAAGACTTTCTGAATAAACATGAGAAACATACAAAACACCTAGTATAAATCCAAAAACAGGTATGCAGAGTTTAAAAAGAAAGACAGACAGCTACAAGTTATTGGTATATGAAAAATGTATTAAAACTAGTAGCCAGCAGTATTCAAACTACATAATGGTGCATTAGAACTGTCTCCTCTCCCCAGTTCATTGATGAAGGGTTATATAGGTTCTTACCCGTATGAAGCTGGCTGGGAACCAGCCTTCATTCTCCATTATCCTGCCCCACCACCATTCTTTGTTAGTAGCATCCATTACTTCAACAACATCACCAGCCTTGAAACCTAGTTCTTGGTCATCCATAGTGACATGATCCCAGAGTGCTTCTGCATAGACCACACCACCATCACTGATGAGCTGGAATAGAGAACACAATCATTTTCACAAAGTCATGTTTGAGAGATGATACAGTTTGCTGGGGGGAAAAGTGCAAAAAAGGGGAGGGTGATGTTTCTGCTCCACCTATTCAGTAGGCTTCAAAAGAGATGTTGTACATTATATTGATCTAATGAAAAACAAAATTATGGCTTTGCTGATATAATATTGTTAATTTTCTTTTTTCTTTTTCCTCTCTTTTCTGCCAAGCCAGGAGCCTAAAAAATTTGCTAATAGTTAGAAACAGATTAGCAGCTAGTTATTGTATTGTCAGAGCTGGGGGAGCCACCATTTGCTTTGTTGTTGAAACTTGCAACCACTGTGTTCAATCTACTAACATCATCTTAAAGTTGAGTCTCAGCCACAAACCACATGGCTATAGCATCTGACCTAAGTCTTAGAATTTCCTCCTCTCCATCCTGTATGTTTTGTAACATCCTACATAATAAAGAATTTTGGAGACCTTGAAACCTATTAGTTAATCCTAATAAAGTTATTACCGAAGTGTGAATCAGAAATTGATGTGTATGCTCTCTGCAAAATTCAGTTTGGAAGAGATAGCTGAAGAAGCTGGCTTACATAGTCGATACCTTCCTAAGATTTAGACAACTGATATTTCAAGCAGTTTTCAGGCTGTCATATGTTTCAAAGGAATAAGTGATTGATTGATCACATACCATCAAGTTGTTGTCAGCTCTTAGTGACCACATAGATAGATTTTCTCCACGATGATCTGTCCCTAACCTGATCCTTCAGCTCTTCCAACAGCACCCCATCATCAGTGTAACTGAGTTTAACCACCTTGCTATTGGTTGCCCTCTGAAGTCAGCCCTTCAAGGAAGACCAGACTAGGAAATCAAAATCATGGAGGCCAATACTACTTTTATTATAAAGTTAAAGTAAAAGAAGCTTGCAAGTCTGAATGCACTTTCCCCCTCCTTCCCTTTATCTTCATGAGAATTAGGGAGGGTCTTGTCTAAGACATTTTCTCAGGTTACAGTTCTGCCCCAACTCTTTTCTTTTATCTGACTGTTGTCTTGGTAGTGGGTCTTCCTCCTGCCCACAAAGTCATTCCTTCTGCCCATTACAGCTGAACACCTTCCCAAGCATGCATTAACTCCCTATAGCTGCTTCACTCACTCTTAATAACTTTCCCTTTGTATAGGGGAATAATAATAGGTTCTTCCAATGTTAGACATGAATTCAATCTTCACACAAACAAGTTGCACAGACACTCCATAAGTAAAAATATTTATATAACAACCAGTTCACATTAAGAATGGATTAGTGCAATGCACTTTTCATGGGGCTGCCCTTGAAGAGCTTCCAGAAGCTGTAGCTGATTTAAAATGCAGCAGCATGGGTAATTATGTGCACTCCTCAGTTGGTGCATATTACACCTCTGCTCTGCAAGCTGCACTAATTACCAGTATGTGCTCCAGGTTCAATTCAAGGTGCTGGTAGTTATCTATAAAGCCCTTCATGGCTTCAGGCTGGGTTATTTAAGGGAGTGCCTCTCCCTGATTTTGTCTACCTGTCCCATCAGATCTGGCAGGTGGGGTATGCTATTAATCCCATCTATTAAAGAGCACCATCTGGCAGGACCCCAGAAGACAGCCTTTTCTGTCATGGCACGTGCTCTTTGGGACACCATCACCCTGGAGATTAGGTGAGCCCCCAACCCTGTTGGCGTTCGTCAGGCCTTGAAAACCTGCCCATGTCACCGGGCATGGGGTCAGAACACATGGGAGATGGTTATGCTGATGCTTGTGGGTTTTATCACAGCTGCCAATTATGTATTTATTGTTATGTTTCTGTTATGTTATGTTTTTAATTGTTGTTCACTGCCCAGAGTTATGATGTTGAGATATGCAGCCATATAAATTGAAATAAATTAATAAAAAGATATGTTAATTAGAATGAAGGAAAGCTATTTATTCCTATGTACTGTAACGCACACTGAGAAGCTACACATCTTTATGCATAAATCACTCAGAACTATTCAGCTCCATTTCTCAAAAATGCTTCATCTTCACATAATTGCCTTGTATGTTATGTTGTAATAAAACTTTTAGGCAACATTAAAAACGTAAGAGTTCTGTACTTTGTGGGGATATTGTTCTTTTGCAGTTTATGAATCATAGATCAGAGCTGTTTTAGGAAATCTTCATCCAGTTAAACTTGTAGGTCTTTAGTTCTGGAAAGAAATATCTGCAATAGCTCAGCATAGTAACATGGAACACAGTTTATTGCAAAGAGGCAAGAAACAATCCAGTTTCCATTACATGATAAATAGTTTTTTTATCAAGGAAATTCTATGTATCAGAATGCTTCCTGATAAATACATTTGTAGATAAGTCACCAAAAATACATACATCTGAGGAGTGGGACACAGGACCTTTGCACCTATACTATACATATTATCTTAGAATTATTTTAGAAGTTCATCAATATAGGATCACAGATTCCCCTTCCTTGAACTATATGCAGCCTAAAAACCAGAAACAGTCATGTGTTTGAATTTAAAATACTAAAGGTTATTCAAAAAAATAAAATAATAACTTTTACACATACCAAATGCTTGTCAACATCTGGGACTCTCATTTCATACTTTCCTCCTGTTAAAGAAGCTCAGGAATGTTGGCTGGCTGTTCACATGTATTTTGGAGCCTTATGCTGGACTAAAATTACCCAAAAACTCATGCTCAAAAGTTTCATCCCATTTGCATTTTTGTTCAGGATGAGTGGCCCAGCTGGGAAAGAATAATTGAATTATCAGTCTGTGTGACTACCAGTGTGCTCTTGCGAATAATTGAATTAAGAAGGGATGCAAGCCTGCCTCTCCTAAAGAGATAGTGGAAATTTGCACTGAATAGTTAATTAAAAGTCTCAACCCTGTGCATAAACTATGGGTCTACAAATCTGCAAGACTAATAATTTTTCACTTTTTCTTTCTGTGGGAAAGGCTCAGTGCTAAACAGACTTCATTCCTGCTGGCATTTCTCCAACCATCAATCAAGCTGATATGAGAGGGAAAAAGAAGGGATCTAGACTGAAGCCAGAAATCTGGGTTGCCATCATTTACTCTCTTAGCTTACCCAGAAAAGAAATATTTGAAACTCATAGATAATAATTAAATCAAATTATTCAAAGGAGGGGGGGTTTCCCCGCAAAGAAGCTCATACCACTGCAACCTTGAGTATAATTACTATGCAGCCCTTCTAAGAGTAGCATTTTCTACTTCATTGATTCTACTTCATTTGGGGATTCTCTACAGTAAAGTATACATATATAGTTGGGTGCCCTTCTCCAAGGAATCTGCCCACATCTCTGGTATCAGTAGGAAAAATGGCATCTAAGAAAAAAGACTCTAACTTCTTTGTCCAGTCCAAAAGGTATGCAAATCTGTCAGAAAATGATCTGCAAAATGCTTTTGCAAACATATAACAGCAATATTTTCATGTTTAAAAGGCAAGGTTACTATTATAAGCATCAGCTTTTAGTAGGCAAGATGAAGGAATTCTTTTTACACTATTTAATCTAATTATTGATGAAATAGAAGCAAATTGACAATTGTTTCATTTTGCTTCCAAATTAAGTAATATTTTATAAGCAGCTCATGAAATTAAACATTGTTATCACAGAGCACCTGGGCACCCATATATGCCATGGAGGATTTCTGGAAAAGAATGAATACTTTAAAAATACTCTCACAAACATATTACATGTTTCTATTGTTTACTAGGGTAAAACTATTTCAATATATTATTCTTAAAGTGGTTTATTTATTTGTTTGTTTGTTTGTTTATTTGTTGAATTTATATAGCCACCCATCTCACATATGTGACTCTCACACAATTAAAATAGCAAAAGCAAAAAACTGTCAAAACAATTATAACAAAACCATTAAAAACAATTACAACAATTAAAAACTATAAATAGAAAACACAGGAGAATGCAATTAGAATCTTACACACAATACAGCCATTTTGCAGGCCCCATATTTCCTTGGGATCCCCAGGCCTGATGGCAAAACCAAGTTTTCAGGGCCTTCTGGAAGGCCAGTAGGGTCAGGGCTCATCTCTTCTCAGTGGGGATGATGTTCCAAAGGGTGCCACAGCAGAAAAGTCTCTCCTCTTGGATCCCATTACATGAAACTCCTTCGGAGATGGTAACCATAACATACCCCTCCTGCCAGGCCTGATGGGACAGATGGATGTACCCAAGAAGAGGTGGTTCCTCAAATAATATAGGGCTTTAAAGGTCATAACCAGCACCTTGGTAAATTCCTGGATCCAGAAGGCCCCAAAACCCAAACCAACACCCACTGTCTTGTCAGGGTTGAGCCGAAGCCTGTTGTTCCCCACCCACCACCACCTCAGCTTAAAATATTGTAATGCTTTAAGTGATCAGCAACTTGACAAAACACTTCGTTCCAAAATATTAATAGGTAAGTGCTTCACCTGTAATATATGCTGAATTTAATTTGATCTAAAACCTTCACTCAGTTTAAAAGTTTAAGCCCATTCACTCATAAATCACCCTAAACTACTTCCTGCACCTTTAGACCTAAAGTGGCTATATGCTTCTCCTTCCTATACTCCATTCCCACCCTTTCTTCTTTTGTAGCTGTCAGTAATCCAACAGGAGTGGAGACCACTATTCAACAGTTTAGTGTAGCTGCCTGGCTTACCAGAAGCCCTGCTCATTGCTTCTTTGGAATGGCAGTTAAAAGAACAGAGAGCACAGACCCATCCATAGACATAGACATGTGGCCAACGTAAATCAGTCTTCTTTATCCAAATGTTACCTCTTTCCAACCTAATGAAAATTGCTGCAATTTTGTAATATAAATTTTAAAGGATAAATACTCCCTTGTATATATATTTTTAGAAGAAGATAAAAATGCTGCTCATGTTCATTTCAGTTCATTTATTTATTTGGAATTATACCCTGTTAATATTTCTCAAAGTGGCTTTAAG